ATCTTTAGTGTAAAAAACCTCTTTTCAGAATTTTAAACTAGTGCTACTCCTCTTGAACCTTCGAGTGTGAAAACATCCAATTTTCTTGCAAATTTATCCAATGTGAATGATTGACGATTCAGTTTATCATCTGGATCTTTTTCAACATTGAACTCTGAACCGCGATCAGGTGTCAATTGAAGATTCATTGAAGCAGCTTCTCCCTTCACTCTAGCAGCAAACTCAGCTAAAGCACCCAATGCAACAACAGTATCTTGACTTGATCCGTATCCTCCATAAGAGTTCTTTTGTGAAGTCAGATATGCAGCAATTTTTACAGCCTTAGCTATGTCAATACGCTGGATAAGAAGCAAAGCATAAGCTGTCATTTCAATATCGTTTGAACGAGGCTGTTGGTACCACCACCAAGGTTTATCGTTTTCAGGAATTGTTGAAGATTCAGTCCAATACAAATGATCACCAGTTTCAGTTTTTTTAGTTAAAAGTTTTTGATAAGATATCTCATGCGAATCTTCCCCTTCCAAGAGCAATGCATAACTGCAAATAGCCAATGAGTATGCATCCATTGTATCAATATTGTCATTAATGTAATTTTTGATATAATTTAATGATCTTTTTCGTGCCGAGATGTACGAAGGATATTTAGCGATATTTTCTGATAGAATAATGGAAATATATGCTGTCATTGTGAGTTTTCCACTAGATCCGCCTTGCAAGTTTTTATTAAACACTCTACCATCCTCTCTAAAACTTCCATCTCCGTTTTGTTTCGAAACTAAGAAAGTGAACGCTTGGGTAATAACAATACTATCAATCGTGATGTAATCTTTTGCTTCCAAAAATGATTTCACTACATAAGCAGTCAGCCAAGTACTTCCACTTCTATCTCCATTTCCGAAACCTGAGAATGATCCACTTTCAAATCTTCGATAACGAAGTTGTCTTTGATACCCATCTTCCGCATAACGTATTGCATTCGATCGTATTCTCTCAGTTAGTTGTTCAGTAGCATCCAAATAGATTAGAGCCATAATATTCGGAACAAAGTTGATCATATTCTGTTCCCCACATCCATAAGATTGTCTTATCAATCTTTCCAAATTGTTTAAGGCATCTCCCATGAGATCACCTACAACAAAGGCTGCTGTTGAAGTAGTATCTTCGACAGCTGATGTAGGTAGTGCACAAGTTAACGATGCTTCAAGGTTCATGGTTGAAGTTGACTGTTCCTTCATTATCAAGACTGACTTTGTGATTGAATTCAAGATACCTTCTGGCACTACATTCAGTGTTTTCAAAACTTTATCACCAGCCCAATAACCTACAGCCTCGACAACAAGGTTGATGTATCCTAGCACAACTGGCCGAATAACTAATCGTAACTTCACTGGAACATTTGGTTCGGAACGTATTTGTTGCCAGTACATGTCAGATTCAACTGCCACAAAAAGTAATTCAGAATTTCTGTCAGATAAAAAATGTAAGTTACATTTACCTTCCCATCCGTCAAATTCAGGATTTTCAACAGCAAAAGCAGCATCATCTCTTTTAACGGTAACTACTACACATTGCCCTTTTGTCAAGTAGTTAAATATAAAAATGTCTTGCTCTAAAATCTCCCCACGTTTGATATGATGAGGAAGGTTAAGAAGTATGAAAAATGGCATAAAAACTGTTAGCTCCGGTTTCGCAATAGGAAGACCTAAACCAAATCTTCTATGCATGGATACACCAGATATCACATAACTTGTAATTGTATCAGGGGGAACGAACTCCAGTTCAGTTTCCCCTTGAAACCTTCTGGAACTACTTTCAGCATCTCTGAAATATTTGTTCTTCGTTTCATGATTTTGACCTAATTGATAGATATTTAACATTACCTTTTCGCTTCACTAACAACAACAGTATCCCATAAGAATGTTTCATTGAAGTCTCTTCGAACTCTTGGTGAAGCAGCCCTTTCTGTAGGAGCAAGGAAGCATATGAATGTTTATTCTCAATTCGTATGGCTTGGAAACTAATTTTGATTTTCAAATTTGACCCTTAGATATTACCTTCATTACCTGATCCACCGTTACCAGAAGAATCTTCTGGCGTTTCACCCGAAGACTCTTCCGGCGTTTCACTCGAAGAATCTTCTGGCGTTTCACTAGAAGAATCTTCAGGTATTTCACTAGAAGACTCTTCCGGAATTTCTCCAGAAAATTCTTGTGGCGTTTCAGTTGAAGAATCTTCCGGTGTTTCAGTCGAAGATTCTTCTGGAGTTTCTTCGCTTCGCCTTTCAGATAAAAGTTTGAATTCCATTAGAAATAGATTTGACAGCTATGAAACAATAAATCATATTAATTTTTGATTCTGATAGCATTTGTTAGGTAAATAAATACTTCAAATCTGTATTCATTCGATCGGTAGTAAGAATTTATACGAAGACGTCTATTGTATGGAGATAAACTATTGGTGACATCCGTATTTTCTAAGTCGTTTCCAGTCTGAAGTAGAAGAATGCCTTAAAATCAAGTCGTTTTAATTTAATTGGATAAAATATTATAATGTTCATAAATTACGTTGATCCATTGCCATCAATGAAACTTTTGATCCTCGAGCACTTTCAATGTTAAGTTTCAAGCTAGTTCCAGGTTTAACATTTGTAGATGATAATTCCAGGTCGAGCTATTTTTTAAAACAAAATTAGTTACAGAATTTACTAGTTCGAACAATACGAACATAATTTGGTATTGAGTCCTCAAAAGAAATTGAATAATCAATTGATTTAATATTTTGATTCTCTTCATAGTAGAAGAAAACAAATCTGGTAGTTGGTGCATAAGTGAAGTCGGGAATGAAGCTCAAGATGCCTTCATTATTAATCATATCTATGGCAACATTCTTTACTATCTTTCCTTTAGATATTGCAACACAGTAACATTGTTCGAGATCGAACGTTGTTTCTACAAGAATGTTCAAACGCGATCCGATCTTAGGGCTGCAATAAAATAACTTCTTGAATGTTTGTTTCATTAAGATGCATAACTTAAGAAGTTCTCATACTTTTTGGTGAGGGAACTAATTCTCCATCTAGGAATGGAAACACTAGATCCGGGTCTTATGTATTTTGAAGAACTTGCATCATTTGGAATGCGGACCTACAAATAAAATTATTAGTT